TTTTGTGTTATGTTTTGTTTGATGATATATCATATATTTTGTTAATCGTTATGTTTTGTCTTGTGTTATTTAATTATTCATGTTTATCATTTTGGATTATAATTACGTTAATAAATTTCAATCGTTTATTATCAAATATTATGTTATAACCATAAAGTTATTATAACGTTTGTAAGCCCTAGTTTTCATAAAATCAATTACTTTCATACTAAACACTAACTTCGTAGGTATATATCAATGTTTAACTTAAAAAACACACAATTGTTAATTAAAATTTGTCATTACACTTTGTGCGCACAAGGTTCGTGACGTTTCTAAGAATTCGTTTTGATATCAAAAAGCGCATAGGCACTGTGCTTTTCACACGAGTGTGCGAGACAAAACACTTGGCACAATTATTTTAATGTAAATTCGTTTGACGTTTTTACATTTTTATACATAAATAAGGGTTGATAATTTCCAGGAATCTAGAGATAAAATATTTTTAAACGATTTTACGATGTGAAACTATAATGAATTGAAGTATAAATTGTATTGTACAATGTACATGCTTATTTCAATTATTAAACACGATTACCTTTAGTTAATATATCTATGCACACGGTAATAACAGCCTATGATTAAAATGTAGATACATGCTTAATTCAAAAATGTCTGTCATTATATTATTACCTAACACAAAATGTTAAATCTAATAAATTTATTTTATACACTATTATAACGTGACAATAAACTAATAACAATAAATAGTTATATAATGTTCATAAGACATTTTAACTATATATACATTGGTTATATTCGAACAGAAAAAAAAAAACTGTAAAAATCAATACAATATTTACTCGAAAAAAATAAAATAAATATAACTTTTCCAGATCGATATGATTATACCATCGGATTACAGGAGATCACGTTTGTTCAATTATGGAAATTAATATCATATCGCCATATTCCGGAAATACCGAAATTATTGTCAAAAGTCGACATACTGACAGCTAAGCGTATAACCTATTATAATGTTCGTGTTTGCGTGTGTGTGTATGGTATTCGAAATCAAGTAATATTGCACACCAGCCAACTATTTTGTTCATTTCCTTACCGGAACAACATTTTCCCTCTCGAGCCGCTTGTAACTCGTCTAGTCGTGCGTAATACGCATAAAGACGATTTCATTGTATGTTATTTGCTATAAATATGTACAATTCGTTTACCCTCTCGAAACCACCAATATGTAGATTATCTAACTCAACACTTATCGTAATGACTTTCTTTGTTTATTGGACACTACACGGCAACTTTTTTTGTACCCTCCGGCCTCCAGTGTATACACGATATTAGCCATCGAAGTTTAAATGAAAAATTAAATTAAATTTTCACTCGTGTTCATCATAAAACTGTTAACGCATATTTAAATATTTATTAACTGTATTTACGCATTATGATGTAAATGGACGATTTTATGAACGAATATCTATTTTATCAGTAAGATATTATATTTTTAAATACATTTTTATTTTTTCACAATTTTAAGTCATAACAACAACATTAATACAACTTATTTATACATTTAAAAATATACATTATCGTTATATTATTTAAAAATGTTTAGCTTTTAATTATAAACATAATTTTTTAGTTTCATAATTGGAAGTAGGATATTATACTGTCTATCAATATTCATGTAAAGAAAACGAATTTTGAACCAATGGTTATATTAAGTTATAATTTTTTGTATTTCACAGATTATAAGAATATCAAACTTTCACCTAATTGAGGAAATAACTGTTTACTGATAAGATAATCGCCCTGTAAAATAGATACGTAATCACTTTCGTACTTATATCGGTTTTAAAACTTTATCTTCATCTCGTCGCTATGAACGAAATGTTTAAATAAAAAAATTATCATTAAGTATTTTTTTGGAAAATGTATTCCTTCAAAAAAAGGCGACAGAGGAAATTGAAAAAAAGAAAAGAAAAAACCCTAAACGTGCATTAATGCAATTATTATATGATTTTTACACGTATATGATTTTCATTCACTTTTAGATATGTGTAAAACGATGGTGAAAAAATAAGTTTATGATGGTTTATTTTTTATTTTTTGAGGATAAATAAATACATATTTTTCCTATTCAAGTTCCATAACACATTCTTACGGTTTAGTTTAACAAAATGTTATCACATAAAAATAACAAAGAACTTCACTGGTGTTATTTATTTTTATACATTTTATTTTTTAAAAGATACAAAGTTTTTATTTTTGCTTTAAATGCGTGTACATTTTAGATGTTAATTTTGATATGTAAGGGTGCTTATATATTTTGATATTTCAAACATTGTCACGATTAATGTTTGGGAACGATAAAAAAGTATGGTTTACAATGTGTACTTAAACATTTATTTTTCGAATATTTTACTGAGGTTACTCGATGGTCATAAATTCATCATAATATTATTCGGTCATCTAATATTCGCTTATATTATGGATATGAATAATGATGAATAGATTACGAAAATATACATGACAGTGTAGATATTAAGACCGAACCGTATATAATAATTTGAATAGCGTAAATAAAGTGACAACGTATTTCGATTCATCGTTTCGGATAATAACAAGTATTAACCATTACCATAATTATAATACGTCCTGATTGGTCGGTTATCCACACCACTAATACCAGTCAAATTAACACTAGCTTTTAATAATATGATCGTGTTGTAAAAGCTCCAAACTGTTTGATTATACATAATTTTAAAACGCTAATCAAAATGTGTAGTCACACGTAAAAAATAACAATAAAACATTTGTATGAACAAAATTAGATAACGACATTGGTCAGCGCTATAGTAAATAGTGATAATAAATTTCTAAGGGGAAATTTCTGAAATATAATTATTTTAAAAACAAATCTTTAACTTTTTAATTAAAAACTTACAATAATTCAATGAATTTTAAAAATATTACTATTAAAAAAAAAAAAAAAAAAGCATAGAGAGATATTTTATAGTCTATAATCTATATAATATGTACGATATTAGATCATAATTTTGTTGTATATTTAAGAAAAATATATAATTTTTTCTTAAAAATGTTCATAGATAAATTTTTGATAGTCAAAAATTGCTAATTAAAAATACTAATTTTCCCATTGCATGATACTAAATTACATTATTTTATATTTATTTTTACAAGATATTTTTATTTCAAAATAAATATTCATATTTAAAAAAAATATACTTAAAAACGTATAAAGAAATAAATTTTATCATTTTTAATATTTACTAACGTAATTAAATGAATAGTTAATATAATATTATTTTATATCCCAATTTTATATTTCAATAATGTATATTTGTAAATAAAATAACAAAAAAAGTATATATAAAGCCATATTTTAATTTATATAATCTGAAGAACAACGCCCACTTAATCCATTAGTTTCAACACTAACTATTGGTTTAAAAGTCATATTTTATTAAATTAAAAAATATTTATAAATATAACTACACCAGAAACAAAATACAATATACTTATATACACCATCGTAGTACGTGGATCGAAAAACCAAATAATTTTAACTTGCTCTTAATTATTAGTTGGATAAACTACCTTCTGTTAGAAAAAAACTCTCAGATCATGGATTTATTTTAACTTTTATTTACGTATAATAATATAACATTATAAATTGATTATGACTAAATAGTTTGTATTTTGAAAACTCAAAATGTATACATATTATCGCAAACATACAATAATATAAAATATATTAAGTGATTTTACCAATTATTTCACTTAAAAGTAATTTCTATTAAGAATGATAATTATCTTAGGCACTTTATAGATTTTAACTGATATTTTAATTTTAAATTAAGTTATAACTATGTCATAATATGATACAGTTTTAAAATTATCATAACTAGGATTAAAATTAAAACATTATTAAAAGTTCTCAAGACACCCAAGAAAACATTCTTACTTTTAAATTTGATTACCTACCTATAATACGTGAATTCGCTATAACATTAAAGCGACCAACACAACATCGGTTTTACTGAACACAAATTTTCTATTCGTATAATATATAACTATGTCGTGTGTTCATAAGACAGATACAACGCGTACGGGCTATGCGTCCCCTTAACATTATAATTTGATTAAAACAACAACGTGTGTTCCGAATCGTTTCAAAGTTTATGAATATAATAATGTATAATACCTCATAGTATAATAAATAAGATGGGATGGTACTGGTTTGCGCAAAAACTACCACTCGTTTGGGAACAGTTGAGCCTTAAACCAGACACATGGTTTGACCATAATTATCTTTTAGTTATCTTTTACAGTACCAATACATTTTATAAACTAAATCAGCATAAATTAAAAATGCATGTTAATATTATAGTTTTTTATTAATAATTGTTAATTTATAAACTGATATTATATGATAGTATTTATACTGATACATTTCCACGTCATGACTTGAAAACTTCACTGATTTCTAAATCCATTTTTAGTAAACATAAATAAGGATAGAGTTACAAAACACGCGTAATGTACTCGTATTCACGCTATAAGTTATCGAGTTGTACTGTTTTTGAAAACATTTTTTTTTGTACTCTTTATTGATGATTATTAGTGCCCACGTCGTTAAACAGATAAAACAAAATATTATTGTCATGTGCCCAAACCAGTTGTACATATTACAATATCACTGTGTCCTCTAATGAGAGGTAAAGATTCTCATTGTTTACTTTTTCCCTGCACCCTTCTACTCCTGTTTCTCTCACACCGTCGTGTACCGAAGCACCGCCAAATCTGCGTCAAGTGTACCTTCTACGTTTATTGAGTATAATATTATAATATCGAAGTGTATCGGTGTTGATGTATTAAGCGGGGAAAACTTTGAGACTTCAATTTTCACCCCCGGTACACTCGTCTATGCGGCCGCTAAACTCAAAGTCATCACCCCGAAACTTTCGTGAAACTGTACTTACCGAAATCTGCAACGATTTGTTCACCGCAATACACGAACACGAACAGCAGCGCGTACACCAGCCGCGTCTTTGAGTCTCGCTTGTCCATCGTTAGCCTCAGGGGTTCACGAAAATACACCATTTCCGCGTCAAATTTAGTTCATTTGGACGGTTACCGATGGAGTTCACCTGTAGAAAAATTGCTACGGTTGGTTAAAGTGAAAAAAACTACATATAGGATATACACAACAGTTTCGAAAAGACGACAGCAAGTTTTCATGACATAATAATTTATTAATTTATTTCTTCATGAATATTTATTAGTATTTTAACGCACGCTTTCTACGTACAAACTCAAAAACGTTGGGTTAACAAAAAATAAATGTTAATTACGCAAAAGCGCTGTTATATAGTTAATATATATAAAACAGATTTTATTATGAGTAAGTACGTAGAAAAGCAATTCAGTTTAGATCGTAGTTAGCTATATGATTTATAATCAAGAACAATATTTATAGAAATTTAATGTTATTCAAAATAAATATCTACTATAATGGAAAATTAATGTAATTATTATTATACATATTTTTTTTATATTAAATAAACACGTAAACAACTATAAGTGTGTTATAATGTGTTTGAATTCGGTTTAAGTAAAATATCAGTAGAACTTTATTGTTTATATATTATATATACCGAATTACACTAATTATTCCACAGTATTATTGTCATTAATAATTTACGATGATTACGATGATTTTATTTTATTTTCTAATTGCAACATAGTTACATGGATATAGCGAAAATTATATATATAAATAATTGACCTATTTTTATTGGTGGTTTACATCACATTTAAAATATGTGTACATCTATTTGTGCTATTTATGCTTATCGGTCCAAATAAAATTTATGTTATTGCTAATACGTATGCGATATAAATAATACCATATGAATAAAATACCAAATTTACGTATTTTTTGATATGATTATAAGTTAAAAGATTTTGTTAATGAAACCTTAAATCATTCAACTGATAATATATTTAAATCAATTTGTTATAAATGAAGATCAATACAATATTCTAGTAATCACTGATCTGACTTTAGTTTTTATGGTTAGTTTTATTTAGAACAATTAATCTATAAAATAATATTTTAGTTTAAGTCAACTAATTGAATGAAAAATTCAAATATATATATATATTTCATAAGAATATTTAACACTAATACAATATTGCGTTTGGGTAAGGTAAGATAATATAATAAATTATGAATTATAATAAAAATAACTAACCTAAATACAAAACAAAAAAATGTTTTTAATCAGATTTATATAGTTATAAAATAACGAATTTCATAGTATTCATTGATAGTGCATAATGCATAGTTTTTATAACATATACATCATAATGCATATTAATTTTAAATAATTTATTAATGTTTTATTCTGAATGAAAGAAACTACTAGTGAAAAATATTATTATAAACTATAGATTTTTAATAATGCCAAGTATGAAATCAGTTTCCGACATCGACCTTTTAACATTATGTTATATTACTTCAAAACGTCTTATGATACTCAAATTGAGGTATTTTTCATTGTTAAATAGTAAATATTTTTACGAGTATAATAAGTATGTAAACACGTCATATACTTAAGTCAAAAAAATGATACGTAGATTATATATGTATATATATAATGTTAATATATGTATATATTAATATACATATATATTTTCAACTTATTTTCACTTTTGTCATGACGTCAAATAAATCACTATCATCATATAACAGTTTGAGTAGACTTAACAATAATAAATCCAATTGAAATTGGTCATACTTTTGTAATTCAAGTACGTTTTAAATTACTGTCAAAATCTAAGAATAGTTGTAAAAGTGATTATAGGCATATCGTGTACGTTTAAAAAAATGTTTTAAAGAAAAAAAAAACACTAACGATTTATTATTTATGAGAAAATAATGTTTGTCAAAGTTTCGGGATTCGTATATAATATAATAAAAAATACAACGGACTGTTTTCTACTTTTATGGTGCTCTATGAAAATAAAGAAATACAATAAAATTATTAATGTCGTTTGTTGAAATACATAATAATTTTATTATTAATTTATTATTGATCTCCAAGTTTTAATATAGTATGACACAATGTCAGCTACCAGTATAATAATATGCTTAATTTGAGTATTTCTTGATTTCTCACTTATTTGTTTGTTTTTTTTTTACATTAGAAGTAGGTAACGACCGTCGTACATTTAGTGTGTAAAAATAAATTTAACATAGAATAGTATTTATTTTCAGGAAAACCAGTATACAAATGTGTAGATACCTTAGTTCCTTAAATTTCAAGAGTCAATTTTATTTCTTTTCAGTTTTTCCTACAATTTCCGCTTCATTTATACTGACAGAATTCATTGTTAAGTTTCTTCCTAAAAAACACCGGTTAACGCACATTATAGTATTTTAATAATACGGACGATTAGTGTTACGTCAGAATTGTTATCAATCTTTATTAAATTTCCAATTGGATCCAAAAAAATATTTCATTCTATCTAAAAATCATAAATTTAAAATAAATTTGAATAATAATGTGGCTTAAACTTTTGCTTTTATTTTTTAAGTTTTCAATCTACTTGATTACACATTTTATTTTGCACCTATTCATATTCTATCGGTTGTAATGACTAGTAATCATTTATTATTAATAACTTTTATATCGAAATACTTTAAAGAAAATCTATAACAACTCAAACGTGGTGAAATATCCGATAAAAATAATCATATTTTAAAATATTAAGCAGCTTCAAATTTTATAATTTTTGTTGGTGAGATAAAACTTACTATAGGCAACAACCCTTATAACGTAAAACTTTTTGAAAAGACGAACACATTTCTGATGAGTAGTGTGCTGTAGAGTTTCACTTATTTGTCATCATATTACACCATTAGCACACATTATTAATTATAATATTACTCATTATAATTTGAGTTCTACGGATACAGCTTACTCCTAAAGTGCTAGAAAAACCAATACACCAGTGGCAATGATAATAATCTTAGTAGTATACATTTCATATAATGGGAAATCTTTAATGAAAGTTTCTCTATAGGTATACTTAAATAAGAACAAAATGTTGAGGTAATTTCACTTGATTATGGCTATCAACTGATGGACTTTTAGGAATATCTCCAGATGAACTAGTAAGCTCTAATTTATTATTTAAGTTAAGTGTTCGTAGAAGTATAGAAACAAAAATCACATTGCTAAAATCGAAGAAGATCAAACTTACATACAATATAAGACTAATGGAAATTTGCTTGTAAACAAAAAACATCCATATTAAGATCAAAACCAAGGCCAGCTTTATTTTAATAACCATGAATTTTGTTACATAGTTGTTTGGACTCAAAAAACAAGTAATTATAATTGCAGTTCAAAAAGACACAAATTGACAATCAATTTGAAATTCTAAAGCAGTATTTTATTCAGAAGTATATAATATATATACATCATCTTACTGAAGAATAACTATTATTTTATAATTTTATAAATTAATATTAAGAATGCAAGTAGTAAGTTTCTATAGAATAAGTTAAAACTAATTTAATAATTTTGTGAAATATAAAAACTATGAACGTAAATTTTACAACATAATAATATGATTAGTTATATTTTAGACAGTCTACATACTTACTCAAATTTCTTTAATTACAAGAGGCTGTAGATTAGTTAGTGTAGTAACTAATTGAAAAATACTTTCAGCTTGCTTCAAAATAGTGAAGGAAATAAATCTTATCATAAAATAGAAATGTATTCTCTGTATTTCTCTTTCAATATGTATCCGTGCCTTAGCTATAATATCTGTTGAAACAATTTGATTTAGTGTAAACAGCAGAATATCTGAAAATGGTGGAATATTTAAAGATACTCCGTGAGGTAAAATGTTCTTGATTAAAAACCCCTTATCTGCAATAATAAGATCTCCTACTTCCAGAAGGTCAACTTCTCTAAAAGACCACATATAAATGTTAATATTGTATCTGACATAGATCCAGATAACAAAGAACTGACAAATACGGTAAAGCTATTTGGGACAATTTCTATTAGTGCTACTTCAGGAATTTCTGTAGGTACTCATTTGAAATATGTATGTCTCTCTAAATATTTATCAACTGACGGTATATAGTAGTATAAACTTCTGAACAATCTATTATTAAATTACAGTTGGTAAATAATTTGAATACACCAAGTAAAAATTGTTTTGTTTTTTTTTTCTCTGGTTTGAATATACTACTCATGTATTTAGTAAAAAATATAGCGCGTAAACAATTAATTCATGTAATGACATCATTACTAACAGTTGAATTTTACCATTAAATCGAAATATGGGGAATTGTTTATAGATTTAACTAACATCATTAGTATTTGATCAATTTTATTGATACTTTAAACATCTTAGTTTCAATGATAATCTCTGTATTATTCACTAATTTGCAAAGAGCTATAAATATATGTTAATATTTAATCATCTGATAATATAGAAGTTAATAATTCCTTATTTTGAACTAGATTGAACAATTTAGTTTCAATATCAATCTTTCATTTTGTTTTTTTCAGATAATAGTTTTCAGTTTTAAGTGCGGTCAATGATGTTGATGATTTAATTACTTCAGATATACTAAAAAGTAAATGCAATTTACTATAGTATTAAATCTTAATATTCAAAAAATGAATAATATCTTTAGGGATTACACTTTGTTGGTTTATCGTCAAAATCAAGAGCTATATTTTATTCAAATCCACTGTTATTAACAATTTCATTTCATCTTATGTCACTTCAAGTTTTGGAGAGTTCTAGCAGGTCTTTTTATTTTATGGTGTAAGATAATGAATGTCAAATTGATTTAAACGATAAGAAAGTATTGTAGAACTATTTATTTTGTTTTCATCTTAAGAGTGGCAACTACTCATCCCGCGCGCGTGATTTAGGCTTATCTGTTTTTCTAAAATAATAAATATTATTTTTTCATCCAAACTATTTTTCAATCAATACCCTATATAATATAGAACATATCAAACAAATGTAAAAGCTTAAAGATAGAATACAAACATGTTAAATGAAGTGAATTAGTGACAATATTGTTACTAGTTATAATAATATTTATACA